CCCCTCTTCCCTCCGCCCCACATACAGGAGGTGCTCAGGCAGCAGTTGGTGACTGGACAGATGAAGCATCCAGAGGGCTAACAGCCTACTGGACTGTTGGCTCCCCGTGAGTATCATGAAGGCAGTACAGCCACTGCTGCTCTCACCGTCTTCCTTGCCAACCTGTCCTCCCATGTTTCCCACCATGACACCACGGCCACCCTGTCAGCTGAGTTGTCCCAGTTCTGATTCAGCTGCTTCTTTTCTGCCAAATCCATTCTAGAGATACCCATTCTAGAGATACTCCTCCTTCCCCCCCTCCAGCCTTCTGCACTTCCTCTTGCTTCACCACTGCAGTCTCCTTGGTAACCATCCCTCTTCACTTTGGCCAGCTTCCTTCCCTCTTTAGAGCCTCTCCCCATTGCTGCTGGAACAGTTAGGGCACAGAGTAGGTGTTCAGCAAATCTTCGCTAAACAAATGAGAGACAGAAGAGTCTTCCTAGTATGCAAGTTGGATCAAGTTGCTTCGATTAAAATCCTTCAGTGGCTCACATTGCTTTCAGGATAAAATCCGAACTCCCAGCTCTGATTCAAGGCTTCTCATAATCAGACCTTTCCTGACCTCTCCAGCTTCACCTCCCATCACTCTCCATTTTCATTCTGTGGCCTGGCCACCCTGAGTGAATGCTAGAAAATTTCTGGATGATGCATGTGTTAAGTGTAGTGGATAAGAATGATCTGTGGCTCTGGAGTCTTATTGAATGGGGTCACAATCCAGCTTCAAGGAACTCTACAACCTGGAGAGAGTGACTTAGCCTCTGTGTGCCTCAGTTTCTCCATCTGTAAAATTGGGCTATAAGTATCGCCTAGTAAAGTTGTCTTGAGGATTGGATGTGTAAATACTCGTGAAGAACTTAAATCAGTGCCTGGCACAAACAAACACTCCATAAATTGTTATGAGCATGGTTATTTTATTATATGTTGTTTCCTTCTGCCCAGAATCCTCTCCCTTATCTTTATCTGACGAATTCTACTCATCCTTCAAGTATCAGCTCCCAAATCACAGCCTCTCTTGAAGCTAGCTCCTATAGCTAGTAGCATTGAGGTTAAAAGCTTAAGTTGTGGGGTTAGAATGTGTGGCTTTAAATTAAATCCTGCTTCTACTACTCACTATTTTGCTCACTATTTTACTCTGATCTAACCTCATGGTGAGTCCCTGAGTGGTGCAAATGCTTAATGCACTCACTACTAAGCAAAAGGGTAGTGGTTTGTGTCCACTCAGAGACTCCTCAGAAGAAAGGCCTGGTGATCTACTTCCAAAAAGTCAGACACTGAAAATCTTACAGAGCACACTTCTACTCTGACACATGTAGGGTCACCATGAGTTGGAATCGACTCGATGGCAACTGGTTTTGTTTTTTAACCTTACTAAGCCTTGGTTTCTCCATCTGTAAAATTAGGGTAATAATAGCACCTACCTCATTAGAATTGTCAGGAAAAAAATACAAAGTGCTTAAAAACATACCTGACATATACTAAATCCTTGATTAATGTTAGGTATTGTTATTATTAGCAACCTTTCTTACCTTTTATCAATTAGCCACTGTGTTATTATAATCAGTTTACTTGTTTGTCTCTCCTTCTAGGCTGTAGGTTACTTAAGTTCAAGGACAAGGTCTTATTCGTTGTTATATCACAACCTCTTGGCACATCATTCAGCCAATGGAATGAACTAGAATTTAGCTGCTTTGTCCATACATGTAACTAGCTGCACACATTACTTTAAGATTTTAGAGGCTTGTGATTGCAAGAGAAGATGAGATCCAGGAAGAATCTTTGGGTGGGGGGAGATTATTTTCTTCCTTTCGAAAGGATTGAAGCCTGGATGTTAGTTGGTACTATACTATTTCATTTAGCACAAGGGTGATCGATGACGGAAAGGTTGTCCCAGAGGGGCTGGGACTGGACTCTGGGGCCATGACACATTCTTCATCAGTGGGATTGGCTGCATTTTCCTGTTCTTAAACAAGACTCTGCTGGTAAATGTTAACAACTGCTTCTCCAAGAACTACACAAAGCCCTGATTTGTAGTTTTTGCTGATTTTCATGGTTTAAATACTCTGAAACCAAACCAGCTGTCATTGAGTTGACTTTGATTCATGGCAACCCAGTAGGTATCAGAGTAGAACTGTGCTCCATAGAGTTTTCAATGGCTGTGACCTTTTCAAAGTAGATTGCCAGGCCTTTCTTCCAAGTCTTTCAGTTAGCAGCTGAGCACCTAACCACTTGTACCACCCAGGGACTGCTCTTACCATGGCCAGTTTCAAGCTGCTGCTGCAATTTTTAACCAACTCTCAAAATTCCTGAAAATTTACCAGTGACCTAGCTCAAACACACCACTGTATAAACATCTTCTTACTCCAGTTTTTCCGTCTATAAAATGGGAATGCTGTAATATTGTCATTCTGTTTCCAGGTATAAATGTCAGGGAGAAGGGGGTCAAATGTGTAAGAGCCATGGAAATGTTAGTGCTTTAGCATCGCTGTGTATGCACAGTATTATTTGGAAACTCTCTTCCCATCCACTGGCTGCGTTCATCTTAGGGCCAGGATCTGTGCCGACGATCTTCTCTCAAAAGGCCTCCTGTCCAGGGTTCTGCTCTGAGCTGTATCGTTAGTTTTATCCTCCCAATCAGGGCTATGCTCTCTGCAGCAGACTGACTCAATTAGCCTTTCATTCCAGAGTCCAATTGTGAGTCAATTCTGAGGTTGTTAAGCAAAATGAGTCTGGTGGCGTTAGCCTCACGCTGAAAGACAGTAATCCATGTCACGGTGTTGTTCCATTAATAGTCTGCTCAAGAGACTATGAGAAACAGGGGACACGGAGACAGAGCGACCTTCCACCGTCTCTGGGGGGCGGGGCTGGGAGTGCAGGGCTTCCAGGTCAGAGAGCTGTTCAGCGGCCAGCTTGTGTGTGGAACCAGGACCCCAGCTGTCTGAACCATAGTTGGCCTTTGTGAAGTTAGAAGCCCAGTACTACTAGGTCGTTAACTTTCAGGACCATAAAAATTCTTCTGAAATTAGCACACAGCCCAAGCTGGATGTGACTGGAGCCAGTTGAGTAAGCCTGAACCACCTTTTGGGATTGCCTCTGAAAAATAAATCCTTTAAGCAGGCTACAGAAAATGGCTAGGTTTTATACCCTTCAGTGTGTGCAATTAGAGTCAGAAAACACCAGTGCGGCGCGGGCTGGGGTGGGATCCAGGCGCACATACATGAGCACACACAAGCCTCAGCTGGAGGATTTGGCCAAGGTACTTAGCTTCAGCACATGGCCCTGCTAGGGAGCGTTGTAAAGGGCCTCTCTGAGGAGTGTCAGGTGCTGTGCAAGGAAAATCAAGCAGCCCTCCGCCACCTGCCCCAGAGACTCACTGGGATGCACCAGACACGCAGAACACAAGTGCGCCAGATGGGCACAGAAAAGGGCAGCTCTGGCAAGCCTTGTTTATGAGGGTTCAAGGAGGTAGCCCACCCCACGCGAACACCACACCGCCTTTGCAGGGTACCGTGACTGAGATAATTTCATCAGGTCCTTTAATCCCCCTTCATGTTAACATTGTCCTAATGGGGTGTATAACGTGCTTCGGGTACATCATTCGCAAAGCTTTATGATCCTCCACCAGACCAGGCTGTTTATATCATGCAGTGCACTAAGTAAAGACAGTTCTTGGGTGGAAAGAAGTAAAAACAGCACTGAGTATATCGGCTGCCAACTCAGGGAGCTGAAGACAGAAGACAGCTGGGACAACCTCCCATTGTCTCCTGTAATTGGCACATAATTTAAATTCTCTTGAAGTCCATTGTGCTCTTCACACAGAATCAGAGCTGTTGTCTGCTGAGATGACCTCAGAGAGGGCCCAACTGTCGTTCAGGATTTCTCCAACAATAACCTCTTCAGAGTTAAAAACAGCCAGTTGGCCACAAAGAGCCCTCTTCCTCCTCAGACCTGCATATTTTTGGCATCTCTCCATGCCTGGGTTTCTGCAACCTCCCCGGAGTCTCTGGGTGGTGCAGACAGTTAACATACCTGGCTGCTAACCAAAAGGTTGGAGGTTCGAGTCCACCCAGAGGCACCTCAGAAGAAAGCCCTAGTGATCTACTTCCAGTGAATCAGTCATTGAAAACCCTTCGGTGCACAGTTCTACTCTGACACACGTGAGGTCGCCATGAGTCAGAGTTGAGTCGATGGCAACTAGAGGCAATTTCCCCACAACCCAGAACCTCCAGTTGGACTGCGCTGGCCTCTGGAGGGTTCCCAAATTGCAGACAGACATTGATCCTTTGATCATAGACTCTCTAGGTGCCGCCTGCAATCACAGGCCCATCACACCCCATCAAAGATGGGTGTCACCTCTCCCAGAACAAGCATCTCCTGTCCCTCCTGCCTCTCCCTTCAGTTCTAGAAAGGCAAGCTCCTTGGTGTCCCTTGACTGGAATAAATTACGGCTCCCTGGGCTAGTGGATGAGAGAAGACTTACAAGACAGATACACGTATTTCTAAAGCCAGTAGGAATTACGGGAGCAGATGGGCTATAGGAAGCTATTTTGATGCCAGGGACATGTTTCTGTAGAAAGTAAATATTTTCCCAGCGTGGATCTCCGGTGAGTGTGTTGAGAAGCATATTTCCTAAAGATGCAAATAAGTCTAGTCAGAAATAAATATTGAATGGAAACTTCAAAGCATCAATATTTCCCCAGTTATAGGCCCTGAAGACGTCTCTCCAAATAAGCAGACACACATAGGTTGATGGGGGCTACGGGGTGTGGAGGATGCTGGGGGGTTGTATATGAAAGAATGCTAATATTTTAGTGTTTTGCATTTTTCTATATATAGTGTGTCTGTGTGTGCGTGTGTGTGTATTTATGTGTGTGTGTGGAAAAAGACATTTGAACAAAGGAGTAAAGAAAAATGATGGCTTATAAGGCTTTAAAACACATTTTTCCCCTTTCTTCATATTGCAGGTCTCGCCTTGCAGATTTTTTTACCAACTGCCAGCCGGAGTCAAGGTCTGTCAGCAGCTGTCTGAAGGAAAACTACGCTGACTGCCTCCTTGCCTACTCGGGGCTTATTGGTAAGATGGGGTGAAGTGGAGATGGGAGCAAATCTGATTTACAAATACTCATGGACGCGCCATCATTGCCAGCCGATGTCTGTAAAATCAAAAATCCCCCAGTAACCGTCCGTGCCGGGGTTTTGATGTGAGGCCCTTTAGGACACATCTGTGAGAAGCAGAGGATAATGGATGTGTGCAGCCAAAGGCAGGAAGCTGGGATTGTTAAAGAGCAGGAAGACGGCGAGTATGGAGATGTGTGAAGAGGCTCAGTTGGAGAACTGACCTGCGAAGAACAGAAGTCGGCAAAAAAGAGCGGTTATGGAAGAAGAGAGCAAGTCATACAAAGTTAATTGAGTTAGGGAACTTTGGAGAAAGGGAACTTGGAAGTGCCTCAGTCTGGGAAAGTCAAAACCACTCTTTTCCAGAAGTGGGCTCTTTGGAAATAAAAACCCTAAATACCAGGGTCTTTCCCTCTATTGATATTGGTATACAGGGAGTGATTTAGGCTAAATTTTTTCCCCTGAAAACAGATATAGCAGAAACGGTATTTTCTTTCTTTTAAGACCTGAGGCTTTAGAAGAACAGAGTTCTGAATGCTCAGGAGAGCAGTGTAATTAGACAAGGCACTGGGGAGTCGGAAGAGGACTAGAGTGAGGCAAACCTGTGCCCACAGATAAACGGAGCAGGCAGGGGAAAAGGCAGATGTCTCTGGTGGCCAGGCTCTGTCACTGGTGGCACTTGAGAAGGATCAGGAGGTGAAGGCTATGTAGGGGTGAGGGAAATCACGGTTGTCAGGAGCAGGATGGCTCTGCCAGGGTGTGTGTCCCTACCAGGTGTCTATGTCAGTTTCCCACAAGTCACCAGGCAGGAAGAACTTCCCACCAGGAGTGATATACACCAATTCAACGATTTCTGCATGTACAATTCAGTGACCTTGGTTACATTCTTCAAGTTGTGCAACCATTCTCACCCTCCTTTTCCGAATTGTTCCAGTGTTTACAGTAGCACTATTTACAATAGCTAAAAGGTGGAAACAGCCCAAACGCCCATCAACAGATGAACGGATAAACAGAACGTGGTATACATATACAATGGAGTGTTATCTAGGTATAAAGAGAAGTGAAATTCTGATACACGCCACCATGTGGATGAACCTTGAAAACATTATGTTAAGTGAAATAAGGCAAACACAGAAGGACAAATGTTGTATGACACCACTTACATGAAATATCTGGAATAGGTAAATTCATTGAGATAAAAGATTAGAGGGAGTGAGGGAGAATGGGGAGTTAAAAAAAGAGAGAGATCACAATGATGCCACGTTGTTTGTAATTTGACCCTGTCCTGGAAGTTAAACAAATGCAATAAAACATGAAGAAGAAGGAAAGAAAAGAATGACAGTACAGACTAAATTCTTTCTTACCAGAGTTTCTTTAGCAAGAGCCATTAAAAAAAAAAAAACCAGTAGTATTTAATGCAGGGATATTGTAAGTGACTGGTACTCTTGTTGCTCCAACTTTCTTGAAATGATACCCGTGTTCTCCTGAATAATGCCTTTCACCAGTTATTTGCCACTTTTATTGATATTTCCAATGAATGTATCTTCCTTAAGTCAGTGCTCAAAATTTGCATTTACTCATTCCGTTTCTGAAATAAATTAGTGTATTAGGGATTACTTATCAACTATGGAATTACAGGTTTAAGAAATAGCACTTCATATTCCATTCTAATTATGAAAGTAATTAAGGCATGCTCATTGTAAAAATTTTTTTTTAAAAAAAAATTACAGAAGAGGAGAGTGAAGGAGAAAATGTGAAGGATCTCCAACCCCACTTTGCAGACACCATCACTGAGAACACTTTCATCTGTGTCCTTCCTGGTGTACACACTCACTGAACTCCTCCGTGAGTGACCATGCCTGCTCCTGCCAGACATTTCTATGTCATTCCTAGGCTGGGCAAACCTTTACATGCCTGAGGATGAGAAATCAAGGGAACAACTGGCAGAGGCAATGCATTATACAGACAAAAATTAATTTCTCTCTTGGGTCTGGATCTCTCCCTCAGCATTGCTTCCTGGGTCATTGGATTCTAACTTCTTTCAGGACACAACTTGTCCCTACTTCTTCCATATGCCAGGGCTCCACTATGGTACCAGGAATACAGTGGGTGCTTAGTAGATACTCCTCAACCTCCTCAGTCTGTGTTCGGGGTGCCTGTTCCTTAGAAGACCTTTCTCAACTAAAGTGAGGGGTTCCCCCTGTTCTGTGGGATGCAGTTCTCATCCCAAGTTATAATGAGGTATTATTTTGTTCAAGTCAGTACAGAAAGCAGGGCAAAGAAGATAAGCGTGCCCTTACCCAGAGGAGCTTACCAAAATACTTTTTCTGTTTATGGACCAAATATATCGTGTGGATCACTGATCACCTATTACTTCTTCTACAAAACATTTAAAACAGAAGACTTCTTGGCATCTGTTGGCATTTCCTAGGGTGAGCCACCCAGGAGAAGACATTTGGTTTGTATTAAGGATAAATTCATTGTTATTTGTGCCAATATAGAACTAATCAGAAAAAACAATGAACACTGGAGGACACAGGCAGAAAGGACCACCCAGTGTTTCTTTGAGGACTACTGGGGATTGGCAGACAATACTGTAGAAGCCATCGGCTTAGACAATTTCCATTGTTTGTTCCCAGTTCTTTCATAACTTGGAAGACTTCATTGAAATCAGTTGAGACCCTGGTGAGCAGAAGCCTCATTATATACATTCAGGATGTGGGGTAACCCATAAGGAAAGCTTCTGCGCTTCCCTGTGTTACTCTGAGGAAGCCATTTGCTTCTGAAGGAGGTGAATTCACAGTCCTAAAAGGATTGTTAAGATATGTAAAACCATTTCTATCTATTTATGAAGATTAATGACATTTTCAAGAAAATGCAAGGGATTTGGCAACTCATGCATTCTAAGTTAATTCTCTCCTACTCTGTGTCATCCATACCATTTGTGCAGGGAAAAAAAATACCCTAAGTGCAGCTCAAGGAGTTTGGTTATAATTTTTAAAGTAAATGCATAAACTGTTTTATGTGCTCAAGATAAATTGCCAAGAAAATGCACTGCTTAACATAATTTCCTACTCGGCAAACACAGTGTTTGTAATTATCCATGGTGCATCTGCTGTCAGAGGAGCATTTATTTCTTTTTAGGCTACAGGAAAGTCCCTGGCAACCCACGAGAAGGAATGCTTTGTGTTTACTCTTTTAGGCACCGTCATGACCCCTAACTACATCGACTCCAGCAGCCTCAGCGTGGCCCCGTGGTGTGACTGCAGCAACAGTGGGAACGACCTCGAAGAGTGCATGAAATTTTTGAATTTCTTCAAGGACAACACGTGTCTTAGTGAGTTTTGTTTGTTTGTGTTGTTTTGTTTTTTATTAATTTATCTTATTTTTTGTTGTTGAGAATATGCACAGCAGAAAATATACCAATTCAACAATTTCTACGTGTACAGTTTAGTGACCTTGGTTATATTCTTTGAGTTGTACAACCGTTCTCACCCTCCATTAACATAAACTCACTGCCCCCTAAGTGTCCTATCTAAGCTTTCAAGTGGATGTTGCCAATTTGATTTCATATAGATAGTTCATAAAAGAGCATGATGCTCAAGGCAGACATTCTTTACTAGTTAAGCTAAACTATTGTTTGATTTTCAGAAGACTTCAGGGAATATTTTTGGTTTAAGATTTAAAGATCTCAGGGCAGTATTTTCAGGGGTTCATCCAACTTCTGTGGCTCCAGAAAGTCTGGATTCCATGAGAATTTGAAATTATATTCTGCATTTTCCCCCTTTTGATCAGGATTCTTCTATAGAATCTTTGATCAAAATGTTCAGTAATGGTAGCCAGGCACCATCCAGTTCTAGTCTCGTGGCAAAGGAGGTAGTTGTTCATGGAGACAGTTAGCCACACATTCCATTTCCTCCTCCTATTCCTGACTCTCCTTCTTCCTCTGTTGCTCCCTTAGTGAGGTTTTAAAAAAATAGGGGGGGAAAAGAAAAGCTTTCTTCTCCAAGCATAAGCTGGACATTCTTGTTTCTTGTGTCTGCTTTGTCTGTTGGTCTCTCTCTGTCCCTTTTTCCTGAGCACGAATGGTGACTCCAGCCCCTTTTTAGCCACACTGGGTAATGCAGCAGGGAACAGAGCAAATGATGAACTAGATGCTGCCAAGACTGTGAACTCAAAGGCCTGAGAGAGCAAGAGATTCAGATAACTGAGGGCACATTATGTGGGAATGAACACTTCTACCCACAGATCAAATTTTGATCTTGGCAGTCAGAGGAACGTCTGTTCCAAAGGTTCTTAAAACCTAGGAGGAATATACAATGTGAGAAGCTCAGACAAATTAGATGGGGATAGGCCTCCAAGGACTCTCTGAGAAAAATTAGAATGTTAACATTAATACCCCTTTAGATGTTCAGGGTTGGCTCAGAGTTAGGAGCAGTAATTCTTGAGTGGGATAAGCCAGTAGATGCAGGATGTCGGTTATCTCGGGAGATGTGATGAGCACTGAAGGGCTTGGAAACAGCATCAATTATTATTGCAGAGTCCTTTTGGCAGTTTGGAAACATTGTTTCCAAAGGGAAAGGGATGGAGAGAAATATACGGGTGTAAACAGTGGATATTCATCAAACAAATTCTAAAGGCCCTGTGTCAGGTCCCCTTATAGCACCAAGATGGCATGCTGTAGGTGACGATCCCTCTGAGATACTTCAGTGTCTGCACTCACGTTGTATAGCAGCTGTCATTTATTGGGTGCTTTCTATGTACTCAAATTCACTTCCATAGGGAGTTTAATATATATGTTATATCATTTACTGGGATCTGCACAAGAATCCTAGGAGATGTAGGTATACTCATCTATACTCTACAGCTAAGTAAGTGGCTGGTATTCAGATAGACCATGCACGCCAGAGTTAGAGTCCAAAGCCCAAGCTCCTTCTACTGCAGCACCCTGTACCCTGAGGGGTTTCGTTCCATGCCTGCCACTGAAGGGCCTGTTGGACAAGAACACATGCCTGGATATCAGGGGCCAACTATGACTTCCTGATGGGAGGTGTAGACCAAGTTTCTAGGAATGACGATTTAGCCACCCCTTCGAAAGCATGTCCTCCAGGACAGTTTTCCCATGATGCTCCGTTGTAAGGTGACTGATTTTTAAAGAATTAGCTAACAATCTACCATATGCATATGGAAAAGCATTTAAGTGTTGATTCTAAGTTCTTCTCATCATTTCCCTTGTTGAAAAGAAAAATCTAAGTCATTTGCTCACTAGGTGCTTGAGGGAATGGGACTGTAATCAATTGCTCTGGTCATCTTAAAAATAAAGCAAGCTTTTGGACACTTTAAGTGTGAAGTTCAAGCCCACAAAACTAGTGTCCAGTGTGGAGGCACTCACCAAGACATTGGGGTATACCAAGGAATTGGACCTTGGGCCTCTTGTTTGGTCTTGATTTAAATATACATAAGCATGAATACAGTAAAACCTGCAAAAGCCGGAACATGTGTAAGGCAGAAACCTGTTAGAGAAGGAAAGCTCAGATAGTTTCCATTAATAGAGAGCTATAGAAAAGTGGTAAGATTGTACCCTGTCTAAGGTGGAAAACTTGTGAGACCCGGAAAAACAAGGCAGTCCCATCGAGTTCTGGCTCTCACAGGTTTCACTGTATAAACATACATATAGATATACATATATATCACCCCTCTTTTTCACATCCTGCACACTTCTGGCAGAATCCAAGTTTTAATGAAGATAAAGCATTGACAATAGAGGTCAGTGTGAGAAAAGATTCTGCCGATACTGGCTGCAAACCTCTCCTCACAGAGAAATTAAAGTTGTCCCTGCTTAATAACATTTTGGTGAAGGGGAGAATAGTCTGGTATCTTATTGCTAATGACTTTTCAATAAAAATAAATGCATTTGGTCTGCAACAGGGGCCAAAGCCAGCCAGAATTTTTCACAGTCATTCCATTTATACTTTCATTAGGAGGGGCATAGCATACCAAAGACATAGGGCTGTAAATCCAGTCTCTTGCAAAAGGCCCTGAGGTAGGAGGAATTGGAATTTTTAGATTCCAGCCCAAATGCAGTAACCCAATTTCTACTCCCTTCAGATGAAGCCAAACCTCTCCCAAATTCCCCTATCATCAACATGACTTCAACCAATTGTGTTTCCTTCTGGTTATTGGGAAAGAAACAGTTATTTTTAAGCCAAGTGCGTGGGAGATCTGAAAAGAAGAGAGGAGGATGAGGTGGAGGTGAGATGTCAGTTCCTGTCACTCAAGCCTGTTCAGATGTCACCTTCGCCAGGAGGCCTCCCCTGCCCGCTTCATCTTCACTGCAATTCGCCATTCTTGCTCCGCACTCTGTGCCCACCCTCACTTTGTTTTTCTCCAAGGCACTTCTCACCACCTAATGTAGTGTCTAAGGAGCCCTGGTAGTGCAACCATCAGGCACTCAGCTGCTAACTGAAAGGTTGGCAGTTTGAACTTACCCAGCGGCTCTGTGGGAGAAAGACCTGGCTGTCTGCTCCCGTGAAGATTACAGCCTAGAAAATGCTATGGGACAGTTCTGCTCTATCACATGGGGTTGCTTTTAGTTGGAATCAACTCGATGGCACCCAACAACCAAGTATTGTCTAAGGAGCTCTGGTGGCGCAACAGTTAAGCGCTCGGCTGCCAACCAAAAGATTGATGGTACTAACCCATTCAGCAGTTTCGTGGGGGTAAAGACTTGCCTATCTTCTGTAAACATTATAGCCTAGAAAACCTTATGGGGCAGTTCTGCTCTTTCCCATGGGGTCGCTATGAGGTGAAGTCGACTTGACAACACCTAACAACAACAGTGTACCGTCTGTTTAACTTACTTGACTTCCCAACGCAAATGTGGACTCCATGAGGTTAGCACTTCTGTCTTTTGTTGCTGGCATTGTCATTCAGCACACAGAGCAATGCCTAGTACTTCATAGATATTCGTTGACGTTTGAATGAATGAATGAACAAATGAACTCCCAAAGTGGCAAAGCAGACACTCCGGGAAAGTAAAGGTAGTTTTAATACATGGCAAGGATCTCTTGAATTTACATGTCTGAACAAGAAAAAGGAGATTTGGGTTTTTTGTTTTCTGTTTTTTTGTTCTGGGTTCATTTAATTAGGAAACCGGTCCCTTCTATCTCTTTGTTTTCTTTCCACCCACCCGTTAAGCCACGTAACATGGCTAGGAGCATAAAAAGCATTTATATTAATTTGAGCTGTTTCTCACAGCCTAAAAAAAAGTAAAGTTTCAGAAAACAAGCTTCCGATTTGCTAGAACTTAAAGGATAACAATTTTAGAACCAAATGTCACTTCTAAGAGGAAGATTAGGCTTAAATTATTCTGTCTTACATATTGAAAAATGCCAGCTAAAAGTCATATATTAGCAATTTGCACATTCAGGTCCCACATGGAAGAGTTTGATTTCTTATACAACGAATATGAAAGAAAAAATTCCTAAATCCAGGCCAAATCCCTGGAGACCTGATTAAAAACTGTTTTTTATTCATTTGGGGGAGGGGAACAACACAGAACCAATTTACTCTTGCAGTAAAAACAACCTAATCCCATGAAATTGTAATAAGCTTTTAAAGTTCTACCTTTTAAACTTCTCATTTACACGGGGCTGCTCCTACCTAATTATGCAGATTTTGTTTGGAAGTCTGCGAGCAGAAAGGGAAAAAATAATCTTGCTTAAACTTGCACCATATATTGATGAAGTTTGGGGTTGATTTTTCTTTTAAAGAAGCCAGAGGCATTTATACTTCCAGCAGTGCCCAACATGTACTAACCCATTGCCGTCCAGTCCAATTCCAACTCATAGTGACCCTATAGGATGGAGTAGAACTGCCCCATAAGGGTTTCCGAGGCTGTGGTCTTTACGAAAGCAGACTGCCACATCTTTCTCCCATGGAGCGGCTGATAGGTTCAAACTGCTGACCTTTCAGTTAGCAGCCAAGCACTTAACCACTGCGCCACCAGGGCTCCTCGACACATATTAGGCACTCTATTGCAGTGGTTCACATTTTTGGCTTTTTTATATCACTGCCTGCCAAATTAGAGGGTAAAGGCTACTGAGTTGTCTCAGTCCCATAATTAGGGATGCTGTACTTTAAAAGAAAGCGCTAATTAGTTTGCTTTTAATACAGTTTCGACAGAGCACGAGGATATTCTTGGAGGGCAGGATAATGATTATGAGCCCAAGTAACAGGGCTGAGGCTAAGTTTCAAAGAGCTCGACTGATGAGGTTTCAGGGGAAGGAACTCGCTCAACACCTGGCACGTAAATAGGAGCACAATAAATATTTGCTGCATTTGGAGCATAGCTAAGTGTCCAGCTCAGTGTTTAATGAGTGAATTGATTTTTGAGTATGACCCAGTGACTGGCCCTCAGCAAGTGGAGGATGAATGAATGGATGGATGGGTTTTATTAAGAGAAGTCCAATACCATAATCAGAATTTCTGGTATACGTCTCTGGCTGTGTGTATCCTGTCTGTTACATTTGCTGCTTGACTTTGAAATTGGATTTCCTCCTGTTTTACTGCAGAAAATGCAATTCAAGCCTTTGGCAATGGCTCCGATGTGACCGTGTGGCAGCCAGCCTTCCCAGTACAGACCACCACTGCCACCACCACCACAGCCTTCCGGGTCAAGAACAAGCCCCTGGGGCCACCAGGGTCCGCGAATGAAATCCCCACACACGTGTTACCACCTTGCGCAAATTTACAGGTGAGATTTGGACCTGCCCTCTGTGCTGGAGCCCACTTCTGAGGCACACTGATCCACTTTCTGACCTGCATTTATAGAGAGATGGCACTGCTGCTCAGGTTTGAGTCTGCAAAGTGCATTTTACACATGATGTGTGGGTCTCTGAAGTGCTACATAGTGGGGAGAAAGATGGACTTTGGAACTGACTCCACCATGTCCTGGGGGAGTGGTTTTGGTCAAGTCACTTGTCCTATCTGGCCTTGGTTTCTTCATCTGTAAAATGAGCGAGTTGGGCAGATGAATTCTCAAGATGAGTGAAATCTTTTTGATGGTGGAATAGAAGGGTTGGGTTGGCTTTTTATTTCTTTATTATACTTGTTCTGTGTTCTCTACAAAGCAGCAACTTACACTGAAAAGGAAGGAGCTCTTGAGTTTCTTGCTATCACTGCTATTTAAACCTAATGGAGAGTATAGAACTGTATCTAAAAGTAAACTGGAGTCCCTGGGTGGTGCAAACAGTTAATGCACTCAGCTGCTAACCAAAAGGTTGGCGGTTCGAGTCCGTCCAGAGGTACCTCAAAAGAAAGGCCTGGCGATCTACTTCCCAAAAACCAGCCATTGAAAACCCTATGGAACATGGTTCTATACATGGGGACACCATGAGTTGGAGTCACCTCAAGGGCAAGTCATTTAAAGGTACACCAGAGTCAGCATTACTGGTTAATTGTCAGCCCAGATGTACAGTCTGGATGGATTCATTCATCAGGAAGAAAAAGCACATGCTCTTGGGTCAGTAAGCGGAGCAGTGAGGAACCACGTGTAGCCTTGCAAAACCCCTCTTGTGAATAGCATCCCAGTGAGAACGGCCAAGAGACTTCTTTGGGGTTAAGCCAGGTCTCCAAGGGCAGAACCACAACAACATACAAACGATGATTTCCTGCTTTCAGTCAAAGCAAAGTGTTTATTTGCGTGTTTGTTGATTTTTCATAGTAATGAGTATTCAGCTATTTGGCAGGACGTTACATATTTGTCTGTTCACAAAGTAGTTTCACACACTTTACATCTTTGGATGGTACCCTCCTGACAGCTGCAAGATAGATGGTGTTGTTGCAGTATTATCAGGCTTGTTTTTGCATTTGAGGAAACGGGCATCAGGGAGGCGCCTCAGAGAGGTCACGGTATTGCTTCGAGGCTGCAGAGCTAGTGAGTTGCAGATCCAGGGCTGGGAATCCAAGAGCCTCATTCTTTTTGCATTTCTTCCTGTACCTGGTGGGCAGTGGTGACGATGTGGTGACATCTGACTTCCGCCATGCTGGGGAAGGGGACACTTCCATGGCCCATGTTCCAAGCACTGTGCCATCACTTTGCACTTGTCACTGCAGTACATCCTCCCTTATCCTTCTCCCTTCCCCATGGATCAGCCTCACCAGAATGCTCATCAGAAGCCGCCTTTTGCCAAACGCCATCTTGACCCACAACCCACTCTGTTCTCTAGAAAGTGTTGTGGCAGCATTTACACCCTTCCAATTGGCTTGATGTCTTCTCATCCCCCATGTCTTACCTCTTCTTCTTAGATATGCTGCATGCCCATCCATCTGAACTTAGGTCTCAGTCCTTTCTCCTCTTGGGTCTCCAGCCCCCAACACTCACCTTGAGACACACACACACCACTAAGGAGAAGGCAGTTAGGGAAACCCTTAGGCTAAGGTCAACCAGATAGTCTTTAGACTTCGAAAACATTTCCTGTGTACTTACCATGTCCAAAGCACTGTGCAGAGAATGCTGGGACTAGGAGGAGGCTTAAGGAGTACTGTGACATCTGACTGCTCCATCTTGCAGCAGGGCCCTGAGGTCAGGGAGGGAAGTGACTTGCACCAAGTTCACCTAGCCAGTTAGAGGTGGATCTTGGGTCAGAGATGTTACCCATAGAGTCTTTTCTTTATCTCTGGTCACTGCTCAGTGTCTTGCTTCCTCTCAGGCCAGTCTCCTGTTCTCTTTGGGTCCACTCAGATGCCATTGTCAGTAAAGACAAGTGCCAGCTGAGGGATAGGAACCTATTATCCTAAGGTGACAACAGTGACTCTGTGGTGGTTCCGCAGGTAGAAGAGGTGAGCTCTGCTGTGGCAAAACCAGGCTCTTCTGTACACGTGTTTAAGTGCCCAGAGCATGACTACAGAGATGGTATTCAGCCTGCTTACTGAGCCCCTCTGTGCTTTGGAAACTTGGTGGAGATGGGTATTCAAAAATAAATTCTCTCCTCCGTGAACTTAAATCGAGTGGGCAAGATGCGGCTTGTCACCATTTTTGGAAGGTCAAACTTCGTTAATAGGTAACATCTCAGAGGAATAGCCACCGCTGGAAACACCGTGAAATTAGTTTTTCCCCCATGAATGAGTGAGGAGTCCGCCAGCCATCAGGAGGCATTTCTCCCGGCATTTCTCTGGCTTCCTGTGGTAAAGTACATGGCTGGGTTGGCCACACAAACCACTGATATTTTGCCTCCAACACATATCTGCGGAACCACCGCTCCATTCAAGGAGAACTGTGTTTCCTGCAGGGTTGCCCTGGCAACGTCTATTTCCCCAGAAACCACACGTTCCCTCCCCTGTGTTAGCAATAGGAACTCTACTTCATAAACAGAGGGGCAAAAGTAAAATTAGAGCATGATGTTTATCCTAGGATTGCCTGTTAAGTTCTCAGCAGAGGGAGAAATAGAGTTGTGGAGGTGCCGAGGAGCGAGGGGGCAGCCTCACCTCTCTCCCTATAACACACACTCAGTATCCATGAACCATGTCGCTAAACAGCACTTTGCTTCCAGGGAACCCGTAAGAGTTCCACAGAACCTTGCTTTTACCCCTCACATGACTACCTGCTTGAGCTGTTTTTGCACAGGTGAGGTGGGGGTAAGACCATGGGCTTGTAGCCAGGCCTGTGTGCAGACCCTGTGACCAGGCCTCACCAGTGTTGTGGCCTGGACAGCCGTGCTCACCTCTCCAAGCGTCATCTTCCTCATCTACAAAATGCGAGTATGGTCTGGCTGCTAAAGTTGAGAAGATTAAACTGGGTGACACTTCCAGTGCTTGGCACAGAGTGAATGCTCCAGAATGGCTCTTTAAAAATGCCACAGGCAATGCCTGATGCCAAGGCAGTTGGCCACTTGGTTCATATACGGCAGATGGATGGTGGTGATGGGCCTTACTTAGAAGTGGGATGTTGGGGGGATGTGCCAGGCCATTGCTTTCCTTCAGAAAAGGGCTAAGGAACACCTACGTGAGTTAGCACTCACCGGTGTATACTGCATTCGAGTTTTCAAGCCATTTCACATACTTTACTCCTCACAGTGGCCCCATGAGTCAAGTATGGCAGACATCCTTCCCTTTTACAAATGAGGCAACTGAGGCAGGGAGGGGCTAGCAATGTATCGAAGATCACACGGTAAATCTCTGACGGACTGAGATCACTCACTCCGAGTTCAGTGTACTTTTACATGGTTTCATGGTCCTTGGATAACCCTGCCACCTTCTCTGAGTTAAGAATGGACAGAAGGAAATAAAGAATGGAAAAGGAGGAAGGGAGGCTGGTTTTGAGAGAGGCATATATCCTAGTTCTTCTTGAAGGTCAGTGATGTTGGACTGGGTTCCTTCAGGCCTAGATTCCAGGAGACAAGGAACAGAAGAAGGACTGGGATGTTGACAGTAGAACTCTTTGCAGCCTGATGTTCTTTTTAGGGTGACCTATATTAAGAATGGTTGAAAGAATCATTTGAGGCCAGAGAATTGGGAGGAGGGGCATAAAGGAGTGAAGAGCTAAGGCCTTTATGTGAGAACGTGGTTCTCGCACTGATTTAGGACTCCTGTCTCTGCGTAGAGCCCCCAGGAGAGTCATTCTCCCCATCTGCCCTTGCCTTGCCTGCCTGGCTGTCTCCAGATGAATTACCATTTGCCAGGGGGTCCTAGAAATATCTTAGAATGGCGTTTGTCCCAGCCGCATGTGTCATTACTCAGAATAGAACTGACTTAAACCAGCTTGGAATCCGTTGGTAACAGATCTGGAGAAGTCAACTCTCTTTGGCAGCTCGAAAGTTCATGTCCCTTGAGAAGTGCCCTCTTGTAATATTTTAAATGTACAAATAATATGAGAAAACTCCCAAGGACTTGCATTTCTTTCTTAACATTTGAGAGAGATTTCCCTCTTGGAAAGGAAGAAATAAGAATAAACATTTTCAGAAGTCAGCTTGAAGGGTAATTATCAACAAACCCAACCTGATTAAGTTTGGGGAAATGGGTGGCCATGGGTGTGATGCAGGGAGGACTCATCTGCAGTTCCTATGGATGGATTCTGCTTTAGAAAAGGAAAGTTGATTGATTAGTATAAAATGCCATAGAAATGTCCAATTGCTCACTCTCTGAGGCGACAAAATACAGGGTTTTGGCTATGCCGCCAAGCTTCCATGTCAGGATTAACTGGCAGTCATATTAGTAACAAGAATGACGCAGACTGTGCTATTGTTGGCATATTTCTTTGACTTGTACAAAATGGTCACATGAAAAATAAAGAAACACTAGTACTTCTACCAATTACTTCATCTCCTGTGCACTTGAGTGGTCTGGAAAAAGCTCAGGATATTTAAACAAAAGGGACTGTACCTGTCGCTTTTTTAAAATAAGTATCTTTGTGAGGTGTAAGTAAGCGATTGAAAAAGTTCTATCCTGCATCATTGTACACTGCTTTCCTCTGGTGGCTTAGGTGAAGACCTCTTCATGTGGTATTTGTAGACCTCTGATTTCCATGATCAAATAATTTGCTGAGTGCTGTTGAGTCTATTCCGACTCATAGCAACCCTGTAGGACATTGTAGAACTGCCTCGTAGGATTTCCTAGGCTGTAATCTTTATGGAAGCCGATTGCCAGGGCTTTTCTCCCACAGTGCCACTGATAGGTTTGAACTGCCAACCTTTCAGCTAGCAGCCGAGTGCTCAACCATTGCACCGCCAGGGCTCCTTATGACAGAGTAATAGGGAT